CTCCAAATGACCTCCAAGATGAGGTGCTCTTTTGCTGCCCGATGGCTTGGGGACTTTGCTCGAACTTCCCTCCGAGATTTCTTCAGTTCGAGAATGAACCGCATCAGCCACCATCGATTCAGCGGTCTTCGAAGCATCATCGCTTCCTCTTTTCCGAACTACCAACAGGCAGTCTTCATCTTCCCCCTCTTTATCCTCATTCCGAAAACGTTGGGCAGTTTTTGGAGACAGGACCACATTATCGGTCTTAGGCTTCCGAGCCTTGCTTTTCTTTGGCTTCGGGGAACTTACAGGCGACCCCCTCTTTCTTTTCTTTTCCTTGGAGGGCTTTGGAATTTCTTCTTCATCGGGCGGGGGCGGCCGCATAGCAACGGTGTCTCTGAGGCCTGCATAAAGATGAAGTGAGTATTTCAATAAGAAACATAAGTATGCAAACAAGAGAACTCACCATGGTTTTTAGCTTCCCATCGACCCTTGTCCAGGTCACGCTAGCTGCGTTTCGCGTATGAAGAAATAGAGGCCGGTTGCCGAACCCAACCTTTGAGGTTTGGGACTGCACCAAGAAACCAAGCAACAACTACACCATCAGAAAGGAATTAGATCGAGAAAAGGATGAGGTCGAGAGAGAGTAAGGAAATCAGAATATAAAGTCACTACTGATTAACCTGTACTTACATTTCATGTTCCATTCCTGGGGGAATGGCATCTTCTCAGCAGGAATTAGGTCGGAGGTCGTGATTCGGACAAACCGGCTCATCCATCCTCGGCCCTTGTCCTCATCGATGCTGGAGAAGAGAGATTTCGTGGATTGGCATTTCAGCTTTCCTCAATAAAGGCGAGGGATGTATAGCCTGATCAGGTGGTCGAGGGTGAAAGGCATCCCCTCGACCAAGCTCGAGAATTACCTAATTAGGTTGACGATGCGCCAGAACGAAGGGTAGATCTGGCCAAGTGTCACCTGGTATTGTTGGAAAAAATCAAGAATCACTGGGTCTATGGGACCCAGAGCTAGATCTACAGGACCCAACGTGAATGGGTAGGTATACACGCTTAAGTACCCTACCTTATGAGTAGTGATGTCCTCTTCAGGGGAAGGGATCATTACATTTTTGTTCTTCCAGTTGCAGTCCTCTTTCACCTGCTCGAGCTCCTCTTCGGTTATCAAGCAGATGTATTGGGACATGGGCTCACATCGGCGATGTCGATGCAGGTTTATCAATTTTGAAATCGGATGTTAGTTCGTACGGTGGGGGAATACACTCCTCGATACGAGGTGGCACCACCGCTCTACCTCTGGCCGGCCACGATGATGAAGAAGCTTTTTCTTGTTGAGGGACAATTTTAGATGTTTTAGCCATTGCGGTTTGTAAGTTCAAGAGAAGAGAAGCAGTAGATGCTGTATTAAGAGCAAATTGAGAGAAGGGTGAACTCAAAGAAGTTGAAGGACAACAACAACAACATCCCAGTATAATCCCATTAGAGGGGTCTGGGGAGGATTTGAGAAGTAAAGTTTGCAAAAATCGTGAAGTTGGCCTATTTATAGAGGCCGCTCAAGTGCGTTGGGGAAGCCAAACAGCCGGCCATCAGCCGCCTCCAATTAATGACCTTGGGAACTATGCGGAAACGACTTTTCAATCACTTGAGCTGCTGACATCACGAGATTGACATCATGATGAAGGCATCGGAACATCGAAAATCAAACCGTTTCTTATCGTCTTACTCTAAGAAACGCGGAGACTATCTATATACGGTCGAAATCAGGTATGACCGATTTTCCGGCCTCGAGGGGTCGTCTTAGCCCGAGTTCAGGCAAGGTCGAGTTCGAGCTCGAAGGACCGGACTCGAGCTCAAAGACAGAGTGCAATGCCCGAGGATCGAAGTACGATGAGTATCAAAGCCGAGTATGCTCAACCCCGAAATAATGCCGTTATGGATTTGTGACAGAATGAGCAAGATTCCTACCACGTCCCTAAGATCATGGAGTAAATCCCGGAGCAGATTTGTACGAATCCGTACTAGGCGGTTAGACAACTGTCCCAATAAGATTCTTTACTGCAAATGAAAATGTACCTTATTTAGGGTTCCCCTATTATATAAAGGGGTCCCCAATCATTTGTAAACATCATCTAATCATTGGCAAAGAATATACTCTCTTACTTTTCTCGCTCATTGTTCATTAGAATTGTCCTTTAGCTTTATTATTTTTGTTTAATTGTTCTTGATCCATCTCGAGGTCACTGGGCTCGAGGTCGATACTGCTTAGTAACGCTGGTTTGATTCACTCATTTCTTTCATTTACACTTTATATTCTTGATTCTTAATTGGTATTAAACTAAATCACATATCTTTAAAACCACAAATCAAATATAATTGTTACTCGTATTTTCTAGGTAAAGAGAATACAATAAATTAATCCCATGGTTTTGGCGAATTACTAGCAAACTGTGGGCAACAAAAAAGAACACCCAAGTTCCCAACAGCAGCACACTCTTTCTCATGTTCATCGGAATTCTTTGAACTTGGGATTTAATACATGTGTCATTTGTTTGTATGGTAATTAACTATGGTTGGGTATTAACAATTGTCGTTAAATACTAAAGTATAGTTCATCGATGTAATTGCTTCATGTGAAATAATTACACAATTATTATCACTTCGGAGTTTATAACCGTTAAGATTAATATAATAAACTATACTGGTAACAATATAAATTCTAAACAAATTTGAAGGTGGGTCTACTAATCATAAGTCATGTAACTTACCTTTACCATTAAGTTATGGTGGTATGAATATGATCCCTCACCTTTGATTAATAGTTTTTTGGTTCTAATTTTAGCAAAAGGAAAAACAAATTGGTAGGGCATAAGGAGCATTTCCCTTTTAGTGAAATTTATAGCATGTTTGGCCGTGTTTGTGAGGTCAGTTTATTTTGAAAAGTACTTTTTCAAAAGTGCTTTTTAAAAAATTACTTTTGGTGGTAAGTAATTTGTGATTGGCTATTCAATTTAAAAAATATTTTTGAACATCAATTAGTATTTAACCAAAATTTTAGGAAAAAGTATTTTTATATGTATTTTTCTCAAAAATACTTTGCAAAAAAGTGCTTTTGGGAGAAGCTACTATTTTTACTTCTAAAAAATTACTTCTACTTTTACTTAAAGTATTTTTTCTGTCTAAAAACTTAGCAAAATATCTTAACAAAATATCTTAACTTTGGAAAAAGAATTTTTTTTGACTGAGTTATTACTAAATAATCAGAGCTCTAATACGAATATCAAACTAGAAATAAAAAATAAAAAATAAAAAACAATTGTAGCTTATTTTTTTTTGGGTACGTTATTATAGCTTATGTGCCCATACCTAAAACCTCATCAAACTAAAACGCTTGGGACCCACCTCACATGCGGGATGTTTTGACCCACCACCCTTTAACGATTTCCGCATGATCCAACGCTCCTGAATTCACTCGGTCAATCTCAGTACAACAAATCTGGACCGTCCATTTTCTGGACCACCACCTTAAATACCTCAAGTTGTCGGTGTCTGTTCCATGTTCCCTCATCTCACTTCAGTCAACTCATTCCTGTCTCTAATATGACCGACAATTTCACTTAAAACCTGTGTTCTGGGACCATTCCACGCCAAATGCGCGTAGAACACACGTGCCACCTCACTTTTCACTCCTACCCGTTTTATTTAATGTGAAGGGATTTGATCTGGTACAAAATCTTTTTTAAAAAATTAAACTTGTTATTCTAAATAGGTTATATACTCCCTTCATTTCAGTTCATGTGAACCTGTCTGACGTAGCACAAAAACTTAAGAAAAAAAAAAAAATTTAAACTTATAGTATAAAATGAGGCATATATATTTTGTGTGATTATAAATCATTGTATATATAAAGACAAATTTAAAAAAGGGCAGCCCGGTGCACTAAGCTCCCGCTATGCGCGGGGTCTGAGGAAGGGACGGACTACAAGAGTCAATCGTACGCAGTCTTACCCTGCATTTCTGCATGAGGTTGTTTCCACGGCTCAAACACGTGACCTCCTGGTCACATGACAGCAATTTTACCAGTTACGCCAATGCTCCGCTTCTGTATAAAGACAAATTATTTCCAAATATAAAAAGATGCCATTCTTTTTGACACTAAGTAAAAGAAAATAAATTAAAATGAAGGGAGTAGGTGTTTTTGTTGCATAATTGTTTAAATTATATAGTCCAAAATTTATAAAAGAGATCAGTTTTAACCCGCTTTAATTTGTATGGTGGCTTTTGATTGGGTAAGGAAATTTAGAAAGAAAAGAGAATTTTAAAATTTATAATTCTGAACATTTCATGTTATTTTTATGGCTATAAAAGTATGTCATTAAATAAAATGTTAAATTTAAGGTTAAGTTTTTTAAATTTATAAAGTGCATATTTTAAATTAAATCGATAAGTAAAGAGTATTAAATAAATGGACCAGAAAAATTGCTAATTAAAAGATAGTCACATAAAATAAAAATGAGAGAATCATCAAGGATTGTGGTCCAATTCATTCTAATAACTTCAAATAATTAAAAAGAATTTTAATATAAAACGCTTTCCCCTTTTAATGGTTCTTATAATATACGAATTCAAATTATTCGGGACTCTAAAGTGACTACCTAATATCAGGTGAAAGACTAAAAAAAATTGAGAGAGCAATTTAATAGGGTATTATTATATTTGTTAGTCCCTGTCATAAATTATTTATATTTGGTAGCCGAAAAATCGTATAAAATTTATATAATTTTTGTATATAATATATAAAATATAAAAATATATATAAAAAAATATTTATTTTTTCGACTATTATCTTAAGAGCGATTATAGAATATCATTTTTCTCTATTTAATTGATTTGTAAGGAGCGCGTGGGTAGAAAGGGCGTGAAGAAGTAATAATTGGCGTGTTAAGAAATTCATGCACAAAGAGAATAAGTCGTCTACGGATTGTCTCTCCTTTATCATCCTATAAAACATTGAGTCCTACGTTCCCTTCTCATTCATCATTCACAACAACTGCAACCAAATTCTTCATCTGTTTTAATCGGAAATTTACAAACAAATTAAAGAAGTTATCATCAGTGAATCCAAGAATATTAGAAATGGCAGCTGCAACGTACGAGAAAGATGATCTCAATTTAAAGGCGACTGAGCTAAGATTAGGTTTACCTGGGTCAGATGATGAAGTGGAGAAGCCATCATCTTCTACTTATTTTGGTGCTAAATTTAGCAACAAAAGACTTTCATCACAGATGGATAATGGAAAAATTGATGAACCCGCACCAAAGTAAGTATTTTATGTGACAATGTTTTTTTTCCAAAAAGAAATATGATACGTAGCTTTCTAATTCTGAAAAATAATTACTTAAATGCTAACAATTTTTTCTTTTGATAATTTTTAGAGCACAAATTGTTGGTTGGCCACCAGTTCGATCATACAGAAAGAATGTTTTACAAGCCAGCTACGTGAAAGTTAGCATGGATGGAGTAGCTTACCTTAGAAAAATTGACCTTAATCTTTACAAAAGCTACCCACAATTACTCAAGGCTTTAGAGAACATGTTCAAGTGCTCCATTGGTAAGTTAATATTTCAAAATTTAGAGTCCTATATATTATCGCTTTGTCTCAATTTATGTGATATAGCTCGGATTTTAAAAGTTAGATTTCTTAATTTTGACGGTAAATTCGGGCATAAATTTTTTAAGTTTTCTAAATAAAATTTATATATTTGAAAACTATATTAAAATATATAAGTTAAAACAATTACTAATATTTTAAGATATTTAAAAAGCATATGAAAAATTACAGTAAAAAAAACTGTTTGATTCTCGATATTCTACCTGCATATAAATTGGGATAAGAGGAGTATATGTTAATTTCTTTTGCCCACATAGATCTAGCTGAAAATAATGTATCAATTGAATCTACCGAATTAACCTTCCATAGATCTGCCTCTCATTTAGTCCTACTATATATAAATTTAACTGATGAACAAAGTCTTATGTATTTTTTTTTATCTATGAATTTCAGGAGTATACTCAGAAAGAGAAGGTTACAATGGATCTGATTATGTACCAACTTATGAAGACAAAGATGGTGATTGGATGCTTGCTGGTGATGTACCTTGGGATATGTTCATCAACTCTTGCAAAAGACTTAGAATTATGAAAGGATCTGATGCTAAAGGTTTAGCATCTTTGTAGACAGTGACGGATCCAGAATTTAGACGATGTGTTGGTCTTGCGTTCCAAGAGTTCTAAAATGTTTATTTGTGTTTTCACGACACATAGTATAAGGTTCGGCCTCAAAGTACTTGATTAGGTCTGTCATTTCAGAATGACTAAGTCCGTGAACTCATTGTTGGATCCGCCACTACGTGTAGAATCCTAAGCCTAAGCTTACTGGATTCTTCAAGAAACTGGAAAATATACTCGGATCTGCAATCAAATCAACGTGAACAAGAAAGAGAGAAGGCTGGGGATTTGTATCTCCATGTTTTCAGTCTTGTATAGAGAAAGTATAGCTTCAGTTTTTCTTGTACAAAGAGTTTTTTGTATTTGTTTTTTGAAGAAATTCGCTATGTATTTTCAAAGAGTATATACATATACATATACATATACAATATGGGGTCAGAGATTTAAAAAATAGAGCAATATCAAATGTTATGTTGAATGTTAATAGCTAAACTGAATCCGAGAAAAGCAGTAAATCATTTAAAAGCTCGCTTAGTATTGTAGTTTGTTTGGCCAAAACAAGTGTTGTAGTAACCGCAATTTTCTTTAAGGGTTTATACTCAATTTTAGAGTAAACGTAATTTTCCCATAAACATTTTAAAACTGTATGATTAGAGCAATTACCACAAAATTACTCAAGCAAAAGAAGACAACTAAAAAAGTAGAACTCTATTGAAAATGGAATTTATTTCTACCCTCTTAATCCTTCCGGTAAAAGGATACTTCCTCAGTTTCAATTTATGTCTTACTTTTCTTTGTAATATGATTCAAAACGAATGTTATATTTATATATATAGTAAGTTTTATAACTCCAACATTCTCATTGTATAATGACAGTAGTAAACGATGGTTACAGGTTGGAGGGAAGTAAACTGCTGTGTAATGTAAGGGGTTGTTTGGTACGATGGATAAGCAAAAATAATCCTGGGATAAAAAGTTAGTACTGCTTTATCCCTTGTTTGGTTACTAATTCCGTGATAAATTACCACAGGAATAAAAGTAGTACCGGGATAACTTATACTTGCCAGAGGATGGAATAGTAGTCCCAGGATAAAACAACGAAATTGACAATCACAAGATTAATACAATATACCAAACAATCAATAAGGAAATAATCTCAGGATAACGGATCCATAACATAAATTGTTTTCAAACCAAACGACCCTAAGTGTTAAAGAGAATGAATGATAGCAATACAACATTTCCAAATGTTACAATATATCCTCCGCACCATTTTGGATTAAAGAGAATTGAAAATGGAAAGCTTGTTATAAGATTTATATATACCTAAGAAGCAACTGTTCAACTACTTTGATCTTCGACTATCTTTATGATTGCTGTATACAGGTAACAACAACATGGAGCTAATGTTCCTTCTCCCATAACATCGCCAATAAACCACAAATATCACAGCTATCACACATATGGGAATTGCCCATCTGCAGCACCAACAAGTGAAACTTTTAGAAACCAAAATATTACAACATTCTCAATCATCACTAAAATCCGCTGCTAAAACACTACTCCCTCCGTTTCATTTTACACTGCAATGTTTGACTAAATATGGAGGTTAAGATAAACACAAAAAACTTTTGGCACATATAAAAGGACCCTGTACTTGTCGTCTCAAACATGCCATGATATATCCATGACTATAAGAGTATGTCTTTAAGGGTAGAATGAGAAATTTAAAGAGTTTCCAAAAATAGAAAGATCATTCTTTCAGAAACATACTAAAAAGTTGGCGTAACTGGTAAAGTTACGTCATGTGACCAGGAAGTCAGGGGTTTGAGCCGTGGAAATAGTTTCTTGCTAAAATGCAGGGTAAGGCTGCATACAATAGACTCTTGTGGTCCGACCCTTCCCCGAATCCCGCGCATAGCGGGAGCTTAGTGAATCAGGCTGCTCTTTACTAAAAAAGAAATGTCATATAAAATTGAACGGAGAAATTACTTTTACTTCAAGACTACAAAACTAAAATTCTTTTACAGTTTGAGCTTCAAAATGAAGTAACTACAAAATGTGTCTAGTAGTCATATGACAATGATACACAAGGATGGCCATATCTAACACATCATGAATGACAATAACAGAAAGCAACTCTGCTTAATGGCTCCTACAATACTCTTGTACTATGCTTAGTAGAAACGGAAAATTAGAAATTCACAAAGATAACTAAAAATGATACTAAATCTAAGCAATAAAAGGTAAAATTTTCTGTTACCTGTCCAGATCAAGGATAGGATTATACACAAGTGTTTCCCAAGTTGCCAGAAAAGAATGCCACACTGGATTGTAGTAAAGTGACTCAGCGGACCAAAACATCGTTGTATATATTTCTAAGAAGATGAAAAGTATCCATGCGCCAATCTCGACCAAAACGAACCGCCCTAACACCACCATGACAAGTGAGAAAACCACCAGCCAATTAAATAGTCGCTGATTGTATTCCTTAATGAATAATGATTTTGACTTCCTCAACATCTGCATTATTATAACATATAGACAATTATACTGCTGAGAGTAGGTTACATTAAACACTACTATTAAAGATGGTAAAAAAAAGTTCCAATGATGAAGTTAGAAGAAAAGGGTAGCTTGATGCACTATGCTCCCGCTATGCATGTTAGTAGACTGTATTTGTAAAATAATTCTGGAAATATAAATGAGTATAAACAGAAATGAACATAAACAGAAATGACATAAAACCAATTCGAGCCCACTGAATTCACAGTGTTTCCTTAAGGAATTTAATCCCCTCCTAGTACCCAAGGTTATGGATTATTTCCTCCCAGGATAGAACGAATTACACACTGGTGTAGTGGTACTTCAAACCCCAGTGTTTCAGCGAACACAAAGTTCGGTAGCAAATCACACTTACTTTTTGCTTTGTTTGATGCTAAAAGTATGCAGAAAAAGGAGAAGAAACTCAGAAAATCGTAGTGAAATTCTGAGCAGAATAGTGTTGTATTTATAGCCAAAGTTAGGCTGAAATCTGAAGAGGTGCAACTCTTCAGAATGGCTGTTTATGCAAAACGCCCACAGCATAAATGCCATTACATAAATGGCCATTTACTCAATAATAAAGAGGGAAAATAAAGAGGAAAAATTGAAGAGGGTAGTTACTTTTCTGTTACCAAAACAGAAAAACGGATTGGATTTAATATTAATATTTAATATTAATATTTTGTTATTAAAACAAATATTTAATAACATTTCCAAAAAGTTAATCAATCAATCATTTGACCAAATCCAAATCCAAATCCGAATCCGAATCCGAAGCCGAAGCCGAAGCCGAAGCCGAAGCCGAAGCCGAAGCCGAAGCCGAGCCGAGCGAGCGACGACGACGACGGCGCGAGGCTTGCCTTCTTCTCAACTCTTTAAGAGCTAGAAGAAGAGCAATTGCTTATATACCCATAAAAAACCTCTTCCTCTTCCAATATGGGACAATGCCCATTTGCCAAGGGGGGGAACTTAAAATTTCACTCAAAAATTTTATTTCCCTCCATTTCCCATTCACCCTCTTTTAAGTATTTAATATATTAATTAAACACATCCAAAACCCAACAATCCCCCACATGAATGGGGAATGGCTATATCACGGAAGTATGCATGAAAAACTGTGTGATTCGCAAGTAAGGATTAATTGCATCTGGATAAGTAGGTTTCCCTTTGAACTTTCCGTAGTGAACTTATGTCGGATATACTCGATCAATCGGTAGATTTGATATCTTTGAACCGTCGAACTTTAGTG